CATACATGTAAGAGTTGCCACACCTTGTGCCATACATGTAGGGGTTGCCACACCTTGTTCCATACATGTAGGGGTTGCCACACCCTTGTTCCATACATGTAGGGGTTGCCACACCCTTGTTCCATACATGTAGGGGTTGCCACACCTTGTTCCATACATGTAGGGGTTGCCACACCTTGTTCCATACATGTAGGGGTTGCCACACCTTGTTCCATACATGTAGGGGTTGCCACACCTTGTTCCATACATGTAGGGGTTGCCACACCTTGTTCCATACATGTAGGGGTTGCCACACCTTGTTCCATACATGTAGGGGTTGCCACACCTTGTTCCATACATGTAGGGGTTGCCACACCTTGTTCCATACATGTAGGGGTTGCCACACCTTGTTCCATACATGTAGGGGTTGCCACACCCTTGTTCCATACATGTAGGGGTTGCCACACCTTGTTCCATACATGTAGGGGTTGCCACACCCTTGTTCCATACATGTAGGGGTTGCCACACCCTTGTTCCATACATGTAGGGGTTGCCACATCCTTGTTCCATACATGTAGGGGTTGCCACACCCTTGTTCCATACATGTAGGGGTTGCCACACCCTTGTTCCATACATGTAGGGGTTGCCACACCCTTGTTCCATACATGTAGGGGTTGCCACACCCTTGTTCCATACATGTAGGGGTTGCCACACCCTTGTTCCATACATGTAGGGGTTGCCACACCCTTGTTCCATACATGTAGGGGTTGCCACACCCTTGTGCCATACATGTAGGGGTTGCCACACCCTTGTTCCATACATGTAGGGGTTGCCACACCCTTGTTCCATACATGTAGGGGTTGCCACACCCTTGTTCCATACATGTAGGGGTTGCCACACCCTTGTGCCATACATGTAGGGTTGCCACACCCTTGTTCCATACATGTAGGGGTTGCCACACCCTTGTTCCATACATGTAGGGGTTGCCACACCCTTGTTCCATACATGTAGGGGTTGCCACACCCTTGTTCCATACATGTAGGGGTTGCCACACCCTTGTGCCATACATGTAGGGGTTGCCACACCCTTGTTCCATACATGTAGGGGTTGCCACACCCTTGTGCCATACATGTAGGGGTTGCCACACCCTTGTTCCATACATGTAGGGGTTGCCACACCCTTGTTCCATACATGTAGGGGTTGCCACACCCTTGTTCCATACATGTAGGGGTTGCCACACCCTTGTTCCATACATGTAGGGGTTGCCACACCCTTGTGCCATACATGTAGGGGTTGCCACACCCTTGTTCCATACATGTAGGGGTTGCCACACCCTTGTTCCATACATGTAGGGGTTGCCACACCCTTGTGCCATACATGTAGGGGTTGCCACACCCTTGTTCCATACATGCAGGGGTTGCCACACCCTTGTTCCATACATGTAGGGGTTGCCACACCCTTGTGCCATACATGTAGGGGTTGCCACACCTTGTTCCATACATGAAGGGGTTGCCACACCCTTGTTCCATACATGCAGGGGTTGCCACACCCTTGTTCCATACATGTAGGGGTTGCCACACCCTTGTGCCATACATGTAGGGGTTGCCACACCTTGTTCCATACATGAAGGGGTTGCCACACCCTTGTGCCATACATGTAGGGGTTGCCACACCCTTGTGCCATACATGTAGGGGTTTTCACAATCAATCTACGAGTGAAAATGGTTCCCACCGCGAAGAACCGAACGATAGAAAATGGAAGCGTGAGTAGCTTATAGAGGGTAACTATAGTAAACTGTCAGGCATGTAAACTCATTATCAATCTTGCTTTGACACTGTCGGGAACTAAAATTCAGTTGAATATCGAGGTCTCTACCCCTCCCCTAGACCTTCCACTGACCTTACCTAGCTTGCAGCCCACTACAGTTGCCTGTAACTCACTCATAACTGTTTACTGTAAGGTGAATAGCCTATCAAGTGTAAGGATCGTACCAGAACGCCAAAATTATTTAATTTTTTTAAACGTCAAATTAAAACAAAACGACGCAATGTGGAAAACTGTATGAAAGACCTGCGTCTCTTGCGTCTAAGCTTCGTTCCAGCAAGTTTATCTGTTCTGGCGTTTTAGCCGCCGACAGCAGCCAGCCAGTGGCAGAGAGCTGTCAGCTGACTGGGGAGTATGTTCAGGTGTAGGTAGCTCTTACCTTAATGTTGGTACCATGTGACGCAGGTAGCTCTTACCTTAATGTTGGTACCATGTGACGCAGGTAGCTCTTACCTTAATGTTGGTACCATGTGACGCAGGTAGCTCTTACCTTAATGTTGGTACCATGTGACGTAGGTAGCTCTTACCTTAATGTGGGTACTATCTGACCCAGGCGGCTCTTACCTTAATGTGGGTACTATCTGACCCAGGCGGCTCTTACCTTAATGTGGGTACTATCTGACCCAGGTGGCTCTTACCTTAAGAGTGTGTGGGGCGAGACTTCCTCGAAGGCAAGAGGACATGATGCCCGCCGGTACTGCAACAGTAGAGGAAACATAATATTAGCAACAGTAATGTTAGCAGCAGCACAATGTCATCACCTACATGTTACTCCACACACACACACACACTCCCTGGCCACACGTGGACTCCGCCAGGGGCGTGGAGGAGACCCCGAGGTCTCCACTTGGCACGCAAGAAGCCCAATGGAGCAGTGCTCCGTTACCTTGCCAATGGCCTCGTGTCTACTTGTAACACTCCACAAGTTACAAGTGGAAACTGGAAACTCAGATGAGTCACAGAGATGTTAGGAAGTTTTCTTTTAGCGTGAGAGTAGTGGGAAAAATATGGAATGCACTTGGGGAACAGGTTGTGGAAGCAACCTCTATTCATACTTTTAAAATTAGGTATGATAGGGAAATGGGACAGAGTCATTGCTGTAAACAACCGATGGCTGGAAAGTTGGGATTCAAGAGCCAATGCTCGATCCTGCAAGCACAAATAGGTGAGTACACACACACACACACACACACACACACACACACACACACACACACACACACACACACACACACACACACACACACACAAAGAGAGAGAGGAGAGGAATGTAGTGGTCTTGGTAGAGATTATGAAGCCGTGAGAACGTGAGGTGAACTGGCCACACATACACAAAGGAACAAAGAATATATTTGCAGAGGTCTGTACGAGGAGCCAGACACCGCCTGTGGTCTGAGAACTATAACAGAGCCTCTGTGGTGTCAGGGTGTGACCTCCAGGGTGTACAGTGTCAGGGTGTAGTGTACAGTGTCACAGGGTGTAGTGTACAGTGTCAGGGTGTGACCTCCAGGGTGTACAGTGTCAGGGTGTAGTGTACAGTGTCACAGGGTGTAGTGTACAGTGTCAGGGTGTGACCTCGAGGGTGTACAGTGTCAGGGTGTGACCTCGAGGGTGTACAGTGTCAGGGTGTAGTGTACAGTGTCACAGAATGTAGTGTACAGTGTCACAGAATGTAGTGTACAGTGTCACAGAATGTAGTGTACAGTGTCACAGAATGTAGTGTACAGTGTCACAGAATGTAGTGTACAGTGTCACAGAATGTAGTGTACAGTGTCACAGGGTGTAGTGCACAGGTGCCCGGAGGCCTCACTACCATAGGTGTAAACGGCCTTGTATAGACTGTTGTAGACCTCTTGTTGAATCACTTGTACACACACATGAGCGGGTGTACCTCTCACATGAGTGAGAGTACACACATGAGTACTCATCCACCCGTGTGGTGCCACAGGAGGGCCCTGTAAGGTCAAACATAACAGCCTTGTTACAGAAAGCCGAGAATTCCAGCCAACCAGGAAGATCTGTCTCTCTCTCTCTCCTGGTGTTCTTGACCTCTGGCGGAAGTCTTCTACTCCTCCTACTCCCACCCATGGTGATCTGCCTCACCCTCCACACACCCATGGTGATCTTCCTCCCCCTCCACACACCCATGGTGATCTGCCTCACCTCCACACACCCATGGTGATCTGCCTCACCTCCACACACCCATGGTGATCTGCCTCACCTCCACACACCCATGGTGATCTGCCTCACCTCCTCACACCCATGGTGATCTGCCTCACCTCCTCACACCCATGGTGATCTGCCTCACCTCCACACACCCATGGGGATCTGCCTCACCTCCACACACCCATGGGGATCTGCCTCACCTCCACACACCCATGGGGATCTGCCTCACCTCCTCACACCCATGGTGATCTGCCTCACCTCCACACACCCATGGTGATCTGCCTCACCTCCACACACCCATGGTGATCTGCCTCACCTCCTCACACCCATGGTGATCTGCCTCACCTCCACACACCCATGGGGATCTGCCTCACCTCCACACACCCATGGGGATCTGCCTCACCTCCTCACACCCATGGTGATCTGCCTCACCTCCACACACCCATGGTGATCTGCCTCACCTCCACACACCCATGGTGATCTGCCTCACCTCCTCACACCCATGGTGATCTGCCTCACCTCCACACACCCATGGTGATCTGCCTCACCTCCTCACACCCATGGTGATCTGCCTCACCTCCACACACCCAAGGTGATCTGCCTCACCTCCACACACCCATGGTGATCTGCCTCACCGCCACACACCCATGGGGATCTGCCTCACCTGGCACCGCCAGATATAGGCCAGTGCCAGGCTTTACGAAGGCATGACCCTCTCAGTAAAAATGATACAGGTGGAGTGAGGAGGACGGCTTATACTCACTTCCATGAATATATTAGTGAATGTAAGTTGATGCGGGCGGGCAGGTGCGCGCGCACGCACACGTTGTTGTTGTTGTTGTGTGTGTGTGTGTGTGTGTGTGTGTGTGTGTGTGTGTGTGTGTGTGTGTGTGTGTGTGTGTGTGTGTGTGTGTGTGTGTGTGTGTGTGTGTGTGTGTGTGTGTCAGTCAATCAATCCCATTTGAAGAAATTGTCATGCCCTTCATAATGGACCTAGATAACATAAGTGCTTGGAGCGTCAAGTGGCAAATGGAATTCAATGTGAATAAATGCCATGTTATGGAATGTGGAATCAGGGAAAATAGACCACACACAACTTATAAATTATGAGGAAAGGAATTACAGAACTCTAATAAAGAACGAGACCTAGGGAGGTGGTTTTGGATAGTAAGCTGTCGCCAGAGGAACACATAAAGAACATTGTGTAAACGGGCTCACCATAGCCCGTGCTACCTGGAACTCGCTGTTCCAGGTAGCGGATCTTAAACAACAACAACAAGGAACATTGTGAGAGGAGCGCATGCGTCGCTCTCCAACTTGAGACTTGCTCTTAATTATATGGATGGTGAAACACTAAAGAAACTGTTCATGACTTTTGTGAGACCAAAGCTGGAATATGCAGCAGCTGTGTGCTGCCCAAATCTCAAGAAGCACATAAACTGGAAAAGATGCAGCGGCATGATACAAAATGGCTTCCGGAACTGAGAAACAAGAGTTACCAGGAGAGGCCAGAGGCGTGAATCATGCTAAAACTAGATGATAGAAGAAAATGATGTGATATGATCACCACTTACAAAATACTAACAGGAATCGGCCAAATTGACAAAGAGGAATTATTGAAACCAGTAACTTCAAGAAGAAGACACACATAAGGAAACAAAGGTGTCGACAAAATATTATAAAGTTTTCTTTTGCTAACAGAGTGGTAGACGGTTGGAACAAGTTAGGTGAGCAGGTGGTGGAGGCCAAGACCGTCAGTAGTTTCAAAGTGTTATATGACAAAGAGTATTGGGAAGACGGGACACCACGAGACACTCATCCTGTAACTACACTTAGGTAATTACACTTAGGTAATTACACAGTTGAGAGGCGGGACAAAGGAGCCGGAGCTCATCCCCCGCAAGCACAACAGAATACACTTAAGTGTTACACATAGCTACAGTCATAGTTGACACAGTCACACTTAAGTGCGTTAACACACTCTAACCTCAGAAAAAGTAGTGCATAATATGAGCTGAAAACTGAATTAGCGAGAAAATCAGTCAAGCATAAAGTTGAAGGTGAGAGAGTTGTCAATCACGAGAGAGACAATGATTGGTGCAGACCAGAGGGCAGGACAGACCAGAGGGCAGGACAGACCAGAGGGCAGGACAGACCAGAGGGCAGGACAGACCAGAGGGCAGGACAGACCAGAGGGCAGGTCAGACCTTAGGGCAGGACAGACCAGAGGGCAGGACAGACCAGAGGGCAGGTCAGACCAGAGGGCAGGACAGACCAGAGGGCAGGACAGACCAGAGGGCAGGTCAGACCAGAGGGCAGGACAGACCAGAGGGCAGGACAGACCAGAGGGCAGGACAGACCAGAGGGCAGGACAGACCAGAGGGCAGGACAGACCAGAGGGCAGGACAGACCAGAGGGCAGGACAGACCAGAGGGCAGGACAGACCAGAGGGCAGGACAGACCAGAGGGCAGGACAGACCAGAGGGCAGGACAGACCAGAGGGCAGGACAGACCAGAGGGCAGGACAGACCAGAGGGCAGGACAAACCAGAGAGCAGGACAAACCAGAGGGCAGGACAGACCAGAGGGCAGAACATTACACTTATCACCTGAAGAACAACCTCCCCATCCACAGCAACCCGTCAACTAACATCACTTATCTACCATCTCATCTACCCCTCCCTGATCGTAGAAACATCTACCCCTCCCAGATCTCAGAATCATCTACCCCCAATCCCCCACGCACCCACCTGTCAGCTTCCCAGAAGGCGCTGCAGGGGTCAAGGGCCGCACCAAGCCCCTGGCTGGAAGCCTGGGCCTCCAGGACCGTGGCTTGGAAGGTCATCACACCAAACCCTTTGTTATGCTCGAACCAATTCCAGTTTTTTTACACTCTGATAATTCACCCAGCCATTTTTTAAACATTATTTTAACGAATTCTTCTCTATCTGAACACTTTTCCCAGCTTACATTGTGAGCAAGCTTGTTGTAGCGGCGTCTGCTGGAGCTTTTTCAGGGTCCCTGTAGTGAAGGCAATTTTGGACCTGCCAAAATTGCAGGTAGACAGCTACGCCAATTCCAGCAAGACGGGCTGGTCGCCTTTTATCATAACACACACACACACACACACACACACACACACACACACACACACACACACACACACACACACACACACACACACACACACACACACACACACACACACACACACACACACACACACACACACACACACACACACATACACACACCCACACACACACACACACACACACACACACACACACACACACACACACACACACACACACACACACACACACACACACACACACACACACACACACACACACACACACACACACACACATACACACACACGGTGTCAGCAAGGCGGACAGTCCGCCTGCTATCATAACTCATACGTGTTCCACATCTCTAAACTTATCCATCTGCTATTTTTACTGAGTAATATGTGACATACAGGTAGAGGTTAGAAGCTCTGTTGAACCTTCTTTGTGCCTCCTTG